GACTCTCCCCGGGGCGTTTCTTTGCCGATTTTTGAATGTGATTTTAAAGAGTGGGAACTGAGACTATGCGTTTTTATAAAAAATGGTGCCTGAGCCCTCCCGTGTCGCTCTTTTCTGCCCGATGACAGTTCGCAGCCCCCGCTGGGCGCCCAGCCCCGGGTGAGGGTCCCCCCCCTGGAGGCAGTGCGGGTCCTCAGCTGGGTGGTGGGGGTGGCTCAGCTCGCCAGGCCCTGTGCAGTCGGGGACAGCCAGACGCCACTTGCCCCTGGCCACAGCGGGCTCTGGGCTCTGGCTGTGGCCCCCTCTGGCCTTGCTGCCCAGCCCCCTGGGGCTGTGGGACCCCTTAGCATGGGCCCACTCCCAGCCAGAGGCTTGTGGTCTGCTTGTCCCACGGCCCTGCCCTCCCGCCTTCTGGGGCTTTGCTGGGCAAAGTTGAGGGCTCGAACCCCACATGGTGTGGCAGGTGGACCAGGGACGCTGTGGTAATGGGGTGTCCAGGGAGAGCACGGAGCCCTGGGGGGAGCAAGCTCGGACTGGGCCTCCAGCTTGGGGTGGGGAGGCCGGACCCTGCCAGGTGGTGGAGGAGGGCTCAGGTTGGGACCCAGATGCCAGAGAGTTGGCCAGCGGCCCGGCAGGGCAAAGATGGAGTCCCTGGGGGCCCTGGACCCGGCGGCAGGTGAGGGTTACTGTAGAGCCGGCTCGGGTATGGCGGGTAGGACAGCCTGTGGGAAGGGCCAGTGTGGGGCTGCTGCTGCCGGGAGACAGCCCTCGTGAGGGTGGGGGGAGGGGAGAGGATGCCCCAGGGGAGCTGAAATAGCACACCCAGAGGCCCAACTTGGGGTGGGGTGGGGGAGACCATGGAGGTAGGACGGGAAGGCCAGGTGCAGGAATGCGAATGGTAGGGTGTTACAGTGACCTTGTTGCCCATCGAAGGGTGCAGTCGCAAAGTGACCCCTACCTGCCATGACCCTGCAGGGTAAGTGGCACCAGCAGCCTCGCGGCCAGACGCAGAGCAAACTAATTTTACAAGCAGGCGGTTGGCCCAGAGGGCCTGCCACCCCGTGCCCAGCGCCCGCCTCGGCACCCAGGACCAAGCCGGTTGCGCTGACAGCAGGGCTCAGCCCTCTGAGGCCGGCACTCGGTTCCGGTGTGGGTGGAGGGGCCGGCCCTGATTTCCAAACTCCTTCCTCAGCTGATAGCAGCCCAGGGCGCAGCCGCTGCAATGAAACCCCGAGGTGGGTGGAGGCAGCGCTCGCCGAGAGAGCGGTCCCGCCACCAGGCCGGGCTGGGGCGGCCGGTTGCCCCCCCAACCTCCACTCCAGCACCTCGGGGCTGCTTCCCCCCAATCGCTGGGCCCACCCAGCCGTGCCCAGCTCCCTGGAGACCATGCCTCGTGCTAAGGGGTCAGCAATCAGGGGCATCTCCGAGACGACCAGGGGGGAGCCAGGGCCTCCCATCCAGCCGCACACAGGCCCGGCCTGGGGTAGCACGAAGGTGGGGCCGGGATGGGCGGGGCTGCGGGAAACGCCGGGCACCCCGAGCCGCGCACCGGAGCCCGCGGCGCACGCGCGCAC